CACCAGAAAACTGAAAACTAGACCTGTCTGAGGAAGATGTATAGGGGCTTGCATCGTAAGGCAAAACAAGTCTTCCAACCAAACAATCCAAAAATTCCTGAAGCATATGCGAAGAATTCATGACCAAAAATAAATCTTGGCACTGTTTCAAACCCACTACGAATTTGGACCAAGTCCAGAAGTGAATCCCTTCAAAGTATTTCTTGATTTGGCGTGACAAACTGAGCTTCCCACGGCTGTCTACATTCATTTCCATGAAATTGGCAGCACAATGTAGCAGAAATATATTAGAGGGAGTTATGTCAATTCTGCCATTGTTATAGCAAAATGTTGCTATGAGCTCAAAACCCTCTGCACCGCCAGGAAAGTCATGGAAAATTACTTTCAGGTTCTTTGTTGCACCCCTCGACTTTTCAAACAGTTTGTTCAATCTACAAGAGAAAGATGCAAGAATTTTCTGCAAAAAAAATAATTACAGCACAAAACATAAGATGGTTAACAATGTTCACACAAAGTAACTAACTTCAACTTTTGTAAACAAAGTTTCAAATGAAAAGGATTAAATCAGACTAAAACAAAATAACTTGTGACAAGTACACAAAACTTACAAAATAGGGTAGGTGACAGATATAAGAAGACAAAACTAGGAAACTCTCTGGACAAAACTTACTTATTTTTACAACTTGGACCCTTTCAATGGCTACAAAAAAAAGAATAAGGACATTAAATTCATCAGAAACTATCAAAAACCCATGCAACTGGTGAATTTGCAGCCATTCAGATAAGGGTATGAATTGGCTAGGTTTTTTAAGTACTGGAATGAGTACTGAAGGCCAAAGGGTGGAGTGGAAAGCAGAAAAAAAATGAACAGTGGTTCCACTGAATCTACTTGCAGAGGCACAAATCAAATTGAAACAATGGGCGATCTAGTGCACAAGACGCCTATCAGATGTACTAGAAAGAGTTAAAGAAGGAGAAAGGAAAAATGCTGAATGGGTGAAGTTACCTTGTCCACTAGGAAAGTCTCTTGGCCATTAACATCTACTTCAAGATTACAGCAGTCTTCCATTGTTGTCGAAAAAGTTTAGCTCCAATAAAACGAAATGATACGTTCCAGTGAGAGGACTGTATGGTGTCAGATATGATAATCGAAGCGAATGGTTTCGATGGAGTTAGATATAAAGGAAATTAAAGAAGCAGTAGAGTTGTGGAGAGTCATATTTTTGAGAAGGAAGTAATCAGCTTCTTCTGCATTTGCTTGGCTGCTTAGTCAAATGAGAGCAGAGAAAATGGTTCAGTATTGGAAATTGCAAGGAATAAGAAACATCTTGGGCATTAAAAAGTGGGACTTTGTTTAAAAGTAAGTGTGCTCTAATCATCCACACACTAAAACAAAATAGACTCTCTCTCTCTATCTTGTTTACTGTCCCTACTTACTCTCTGTAGACACAAATCTCTACTTTTTGCCGCCAATTGTGGAAGTGGGAAGAGTTGATTATGAGATATGCCTTCTTACTAGAAGCTAAATCCCATCCACGGCTTTGTTTGATTGCCAAAAAAAACAAATCCCTTATCAGTCACAGCAATCAAACTATCTCAAAACATCAAAATTTTATTTGGTTGCATTATTTCGGTCAACGAGAAATCAAAGTCATTTCAAAAATATTTTGAAAACAGAATAAAAATGAATATTTTTTTTAGAATTTTATTTTCAAAGGGTCGCAAAAATATCTTGAAACTCTTCAAATATTTTGAAATGTTAAAATTTTGATTCAATCATTATTTATTTTTAATCTCATTGAAAACGATAATATTTCGAAGGCTTCAATACGAAATTTTAAACCTTAAAGTATCTCTTTAAAAGAAGTTTTGTCCGAATTTTTTTTTTCCCGTAGGTGAGTATTTTTTTGCTATTTAAAAAAGAGGTGGGATTAAAAGAAAACTCTCAAAGACTACCTCGATGTATATATGGCTTTTAATCGAGTCCATTACTCCTCCTAGGAACAAATCTAGTTAGGCTAATATAACGATCAATTACCGAGCCTAATTAGGGATGTTAATTGAGCCAAATTTTGTGAACTTGAGTTCAAGTTTGATGAGCTCATATTTTTAAACGAGTTTAAAAAATTATTCAAATTTAACTCGTTTATAGGTTGAGTCGAATCTAAGTCGAGCCTAAGTAATTCAATTATTTTACACATAAACGAACTAAACTTTTTGTGAGTTTGAGTTAGAATTTTTTAGACTCGTTTTTTTAAACAAACTTAAAAAATTATTCAAATTTAACTTATTTAGAATACTAATCGAATTCGAATCAATTTTTTTTTAATGAAAGTCGAATTCAAATAACTCGTCTTTATTAATACCCATTGCCTCAATATAAACTCCCAAACTTAAATCTCTAAACTTAAACTTAAACTTAAGGTGATAAGTTTGACTCATAAACTTAAACTCGGTGTTCCCCATAGGTGAGTATGAAATGAAGGAGTCTCACAAACTAAGGAGCACGCCGAGTCGGTCAACGTGTTACATTATGGAATGTGGAAATGCCGCGTAAGGTTTTCGGCTAAGGTTTGGCATCGGGCCACCTATGAACAGCCGATTATTTCGTGTGTGCCATCGGGTCATTGACTGGACCAAAACCGAGAGTGGGTCAGCCCACCCAAATAAAGGGCGGCCCACGCCTAATTACGGGGGTGGTCCCAATGAAACTTTCAATGGACTATAATTGGTTCTTTAATTTATTATTTAAATATGAAAAATATATTTTTTTGAATTTTTATTTTTTGGAGACCGATTATCTGAGCCATGGCCCATAGCCATACTAGGCGGGCTAAACTAGTGAGCTTTAAATGGGCCAGAACATTGGGGCAACATGCTCCAAAAGAACCCAAAAATTGGCCTATCAATGGATTGAATTGTGATCCGAATTCGATTAATCATATAGGAATTAATATTTTTTATCGATTATTTGAACCCCAATTCAAAATCTTATATGTCACAGATTTGGATTTTAGATATACGTATATACGGATCTAATTATGATCCGATCCAAAATGTATAAATTTTTGTATAAATATTAAAGAAATTAAGTGATTATTTAAAAATTTTTAGTTAAATTTTAAATGTAATTTGCTAAAATTTAGTTAAATTAAGTTATTCGGATTGAATTAAATTATTAACGGATTCAGATATAGAGCACGAAAATAAAATTCATCAAGTTATTGGATCAAATTTTTAAAGTCGAATTCAAATTAATAAATACCCGATCTATCGACAAGTCTACCAAAAAACCTTACCTAGGCTGAAATTGGACCAACCCTACTTGACTGGTTCAATTTTTGTTTTGGTTACTGGTCCACAACCAGGGCCAAAGAATTCGTAACTTTTGACTTTTTTCATATCGATGAACACACAAATTTACACAAATAAAACTGTCATTCCAAATACATATAACAAATTTTTTTTTATAAATTATGTGGTCCGATCATCTCCGTTAAATATTAACAAGATCAACTTATTTGATGTTCGTTAAAAATCTATCACATCTTTTGGGACGAAGAATTTGATAAGAGTAGTACAATACACATAACTTCATGTGTGGATGCATATAAATGCTATACCAATGCAAGGGGTTCCTGTGAAATCATGTGGATGTTGAACATTAGAGAGAGAGAGGGGGGGGGGGGACCTAAAGCTTGGTTTGAAATTCATACTGGTTTAAGTGCTTGCAAGCTGCAAAGCAAAATCACCTCAACCTAAAGTAGCATATAAATTAATATGTTAGTACAAAGAAGCACGAAACCAGGTTGTTTCAAGGATGATGACCAAAACAAATTAAAACATTGAACAAAAAAAAGTCTTATTTAGTATCAACTTAGTTTATGCAGCCTTACTCCGTGTGTAGAGAGATTATCTTAGTGGTTCAAACACATGATCTTGCTATTACTATAGAACAACCTCATCAAACCTCGTAGTAGCTTTGAGTACCTAGAGTTAACAAGTGAAACAATCTTATGTGGTAGCTCAAATAGTAATAAAGACGAACTGTAAATTTAGACCGTGAGAGATTCATCCCTCGTAAATATCATAGTTTTGACGTAGATAATCTGCATTTGACTAAACCGGAGAGGAGGTAAATTATGATACATGTCAGCTGGTCCAACCATCCCTCTGTTGAAACCAAAAAAAAAACAAGTGAAGTGAAATCTGATAAGTCTATTATTCATCCTAATTAAAAAAATGGGCAGATGGAGTTGATCAGCTAATTTTGCTGACAATCACACCTGCAATGTAAAGTCAAATAAAACATATGATTATGAATTCTAACATCAAAACTCTACTCGGGTAGTTTTTATCAACTAAAGTTCCATATTAACTGGTACCATGTTGATGTGACCAGTATTGTTTAATGGGGGATAAAGTGGCTAACAAGCAAAGCAATCCTTATACCTCAAACACACCATGGGACCCACTCTCATTTTTATTCATCGCACCCATTTTTATTTTTTCATTATTAAAAAATTGAGCCCTTAACTACGTTACCCCCCAATTGACTCTTGTATCAATTAAGTCATTAATTTTTTTTTTTGGTGTGTCAATTGAGCCCTTTTTATTTGTCTCTATAAGATTTTCTATCTGAAAGTAGCGAAATATATTACTCGCGCGATATAAATAGTTGGAATAAACTATACATATAACCTTCAAATTATGATCTTTTTGTCAATTAAGCACTTAAATTTTATTTTTGTATCAATTGAGTTCATGAACTCATTAATTGTGTCAATTGAGCTGTTCTATCTTTCTGTGTCATATAGTCATGTGAGTGACATAAGGGTTTGATTTATACAATTAGAGAGTTCAAGTGGCCAATTGATACAAAAAGAATAAAAATAAATTCAAAGACTTAATTGACACAAAAGTTGTAATTTGAGGGTCAGATGTGTTGTTTACTCTGAAGAACCCACCCGGCATAATTATAAGGATGCCACATTTTGATGCTCCAACAGACAAAACACAACATATCTCAAAATTGTTCTGGGATTAGAAAAGGAAGAAATAAAGCAAACCTGAGTGCAGTGTGGGAGTATGAGGTTCTTTATAGATCTTGTGTTTTGCTGTTTCTATGCCGGAACACAGGCAATGACTCCAATCCTTGAGGCAAATAACGTCATGCCAATTGCTTGCAGTGGGAACAGACATTACAGGCATACCAAGTTGGTGGATAAGAAGTCAGTAGTGGCAGAACGGTGGCGCCCGTCGCTGTGTACAATATCCGAGGATGGTGTTGTCAAGTCGGGGAAAGCAGTAGGTGCCACGAGACCTGGCAACACACAGATGGGAAATTTTAAGCCAAGATCCAACTCTCAGGGTTGTGCATATAGAAGTGAGATAAGGTAAGCAATCTCGGTGTATTAGTTTTAGTATGATTACACCCGGCAGTTCGTTTGCTTTTTATTCTTATAAATCACTTCTTTTTCGTTCCATTCTTTTTCTCTCCGACACATAGTAGTGTGATTAGCTGTATAAAAACGAATTGAATGGACGACGCACGAAATAAAACATTTTAAAAGATGAAAATTCGGGTTGGGTTTGGTCGTCCTTAGATCTAGCATATCTTTTATGACAAGGCATTCTGTTTGTAAATCATTTTCCATAGGTATTTTTCTGTTCAAACAAGATATCGACTTTGATTGATGATGACGACGACGACGACTTGTTGAATAACATTTGTCTCTGTTACTGTTTCTTATTTCAGGGCTGGAGATTCGTTTCAGAAGAGTATTCCCACATTCTCCCCCGCTGCATTCTTATTTTGATGAGTTCCTCTCAATCTGTAGCTCATTTATGTTTGGCTTAAATATTGAGATCTGTGTCATGTATGGGAGTAAATATTGAATATAATAGTAATATCACGAAACCCCATATTTACATTGTATAATATTGTCTGTTTTGAGTTGAGTTTGCACAACCTTAAAATGAGTTGAGTTTGCACAACCTTAAAATGTGTTGTACAATGAAAGTCTAAAGTACATATTTATGTATTACTCTATATCCACCGCGCTAGTCGATATGAAATTGAGTTATTAGAATCTGCTCCTTAAAACTAAGCATCTTGGCCCTGTCCCAACCCAGGTGATGTGGGCTTCCGGGGATTACCCCCACCATGCTAACTGCCATTGCTCCGTCAGACTGGGGTGCACTGAGGGATGTACAGCCTTAGATGGCTTCCACATCACGAGAGTCAATGGCTCCGATACTAACTGCAATGCCTCGCAGTGTACAATATTATTCGCTTTAGACTAGAACTGCACAACTTGAAGGTTCAAAGCTCTACCATCTCACATCCATCTTGCTAGTAGATGGGATTGGCTGAATCCCTCATTCAGACAGTACAGTAGTGTAGGTAATTCCATCTTCACCGAGCCAGATTCAGCCTATTTTCTTTTGTCTTTCATCCCAAGAAATTAACACGTTCGTAGGAAATAAAGTAAATTAAAAGAAACGATCTCATTCTCCTGTTCCAATCAGAAGATCAAAAACATGTATTTCACGTAAATGAAATAAGTTAATTCGAAGCAAGACTCCCATCCGATTCTCGGTATCGTCCACTTCCAGTTAAACCAATCACACACCGATGACATTGAAATGAAACCAGCAATAAAATTAACCATGAATTAGGAATTCCACCAATCCCAGGCCAAGATAGCATCAAAATATTTTCTTACACTTCATAAATATAAACCATGAATTCCACCACCATTGCTAAAAATTACCAAATGCAATGACAGCAGCAAATCAGTAACATCCTTTCAAATAGAAGAGATTTTTCTTGTCAACTTGTCAAATGGAAAAGTATATCGCGTTTATTGTTTTCTTTCATTTTCGCTTCTTGTTTTTCGGTGATATTTTTTTGGATCCGCACTCTGACAGCACGCATGTAGAAGGGGAAAAATAAAAACGATCAAGAGTTTGCAGAATAAGTAACTTTTCCAGACCTTGCAAATGCCGACCCATTCTTGTTCCAGTTGAACCCAACTATCCGGTGACAATCTCCTCGTATGTGAGGTCAGTAACCATTTATATGAGGCCTTGTTGTTGGACCCAGCAGTCGAGAGAAAGGCAGTTGTTCCCCGGCTGGAGGGCCTCTCTGGCCAGAAATTCGATCACCTATCTTTGGATCAGATATTGATCTCGAGAAGGCCTGTGCAAGCTCAACTGCAGAAGCAGCTTTCCCATAGCGCAATCGAGGAGAATCAAGGGATGCTGATTTTGGCTGTTCAACAGGCTTGCGCCAGGTTTCTGGGGAGGGCGGTCTCTCTTGTGGATGCTGGTGCTGGTGCTGGTGCTGCTGATTCTCGATTTCCCTACCGTTCCTTCGATTCTCGCTTCTCCAGTTCCTCGGCACATCAACTCTCTCACCATCTACACGGTGATCCCGCCTATCAGGATTCTTTCCAATCCTATGATCAAGTGAAGTATTCTCAGGTATTTCATTGTGACGAGTGGCCATCTGTATGGGAACTGTTTCATTCCTGGGAATATCTTTTCTAACCCTTCACAAAATAATTGACATAAATACATTTTGTCAGTCAAGGAATACCTTGAAATCTAAATTCTAAACAAAATTGCTAGATAAGTTTAATCATCCACCTCTGAAGAAAGGAAAAAAAAGGGTAAGATTGAATTAATTTACTTACCTGTTGGAAGGTTGACCCAGCTCATGATCGTTCACAGATTCATCATCAATACGACGCTCTTTTAGAACCTGAAAGCAGAATCAGTAATGAAGAAACCGTTGAAAATTGACACAACCAGTGGGACCTAATAAAAATAAAACCTAGTAATGTTGCAATTTTAAAACCAAATGTAAATGCATCAAGAACGAATGACATCATTTTTTGATTATGAAATCATTAAATAACGTATGGCAGGACATTTGCAGTTGCAGTTATTATTAAATGCAGGGAATTTTCAAATCCATAAAATAACAGAATGACAATAACAACACTTACCAACTCTCGTGGGCGAGCACCACCAAACAATGTTTTCCTGCACAAGTCATCGGACACCATAAATAGTCAGTTACAATCACCAAGACGTTGAATAGGGAGAAAGAAAAAGGACGACGATGTAGTAGAAGAAAGGAAGGAAGGAAGGAGAAGAAGGAGAAGAAAAGAAGGAGAAGGAGAAGAAGAAAAGGAGGAAAAACCATTGCATAAGAAGATACAAAGTAAGTTCTCTTCAGGAAGATTGATCAGTGATTCACAGCATAATGATCCACCTTGCAACTCAGTACAAAAACATTTCAAATAGAACCATAAAATAGCATCAATTTAGTTTGGTGTCATCTTAATGGTCAATAGAGACAAGCACATTAATGAAACATCAACTCAGTATAGATTAATAGACACAAGCAGCCAAAGAAAAAGAAATATAAAAGAATGAAGTTGGTGAAAGGACATCACCAAATTTAATATTGATGTCATCAATAATAAGTGGACACAAGCGTGCATCAGATTTCACATGGATAGATGGTGTCAAACATGGCAGTTCTTCAGCATTAAGCTTACATCAACAAATGTACAAATCTATAATAAAACCAGGGATCCACAACAATAGGTCGAGTAAATAAGGAACATTTCTATAAATAATTTCTAAACTTCTGCATACTACAAATCTTTGCAAAGTTCGGCGCTTGTGGACTAGCGTTTAGATTGTGTTTGTTATCTAAACACATTACAAGAAAGCGAGCGGTGCAACTAAGCCGGTTCAGTGGCCAAATCAGATCTTTACATAAATAGAACTTAATATTTTTACTTTCTGTGTAGGATAAAATTCTAATACCACAAAATGGTTACTCCCAAAAATCAGTTAAGTCCTACAACTTAGACATAGGAAGAGAAACACCATGATTCAAAAAAAGGTTAGACAATTTACGAATCAACACTAAAACCATAAAATGCACATTGGTGGAACCATATTGACATCTTCCATTCAGGTTGACCTACGGCAATGGAAGACTGCAAAAGTTAACATGGTATTATGTCATTCAAGTCTTTAGGGTCAAATGGAAGGACTAAGCATGCTGCTGACATGAAACAGTTGGACAAAGCTTAGTGAAGTTTAGTTAAAGAATTTAGGGATGAAATATGTAAAATGGGTAGGTTAGTGTTTTTCCTCGGCTACAATTGCTCACTGCATACAAGCAAATGAATTGGTAATATTTACTAAGAGCTTCAATGCAAATTACCAACCTTCCTGTTACAACATTTCGGTCCATTTGTTCAATAGGCTGTGACCGAGGCTTTAAACTCAATTTTGGGCGCTCTGCATCCTGATTCCCACTCTCAAAGCCACCTAATCCAGGCTTTATGATATTTGTATTTCCACTGGATCCACTTTCATTCTCCACAAAAACAGGATCAACTGGCTGTTGGTATTCCTGAATTAAACAAATAATGGGAAGTAAATGCGATAATGGACATAATCTGTGGAACAATGCAAAACAAGTGTTGAATATGTAGCAACATGTTTTACCAGCTTATGATCAACAAATGGTTCCATATTCTCCAATGGCTTGGATCTCGGAAGTAACTTCAACTTGGGTCGCTCTGATGTTTCTGAAGGAACTGGTGATTGCAAATCCGGCCCATCAAATTTGACAACACTACGAGGTTGTTGAACACCATCAGCATAAATTGGAGGGTTCCTCTCTTTTGCCTCTGAATATATAGGAGATATGACCCTTTCATAGGTTGCTACCTCCTTGCCACCACCCTGAGTCCCATCTTCAAAAGTCAAACTCCTCTCAGCAAGTCTGGCCAATGTCACATCTTGATAGTCCCTCCCATCCATCACATTGTAGGTATTCATATTGCACATATTATTTCCCTTGACGTTAGCTTCTCTCTCTGTTTCAGAAGGTTTAATGATCTCAGCATCCGCATGACTATGAAGTGGTTGCTTTGTGTGCCACCTACCCGACGAGACCTTATCAAGTGCACTGGCATGTGCTAATTTTGATGCAGAATCTGGAGCAGACCATGCTGGCTCCACCTCCTTCCTCAGTCCCCAAGCATATGAATATGACCCAGCAATAGTTTGCCCGCTATTACCACCCACATTTGGATAATTGACTCCCACATGACTCACCTCACTTCCCACGTAAACAGCATTACCACTGAATGTCTGAGCATTAACTCCTCCATGAGTTGCTTCACTAACCCTCGCCGCATAAGAACTAGTGTTACCACATGAAAACTGAGACACAGGAGTTGTAACCGGTCGGCCAGGTACTCTCCCAGTGGCTGAAGAATCTGACCGCGGCTCCACACCACTTGGCAGAGCACGAAGACTATCATCACTCACTGTTCGACGTGGGCCAGATACCCCATCTATTGGCTTCCTTTCATCCTCATCAAAATTCCGGCCAATGTGTGCACTATGTGTGAGGAACGGATTATCACCAAAGGGTCTTCCTGCCCCAGCTGAATTAGGTCGCAACCGGTGATCAGACCTTCCCATAGGGTTTACCCATGATGTTTGGCGATCGAAACCAGCACGATCCAAATGCCTCATGATTCTGTCAAAAAAGATGGAAATTTTAGCACAGTTTCCACTTAACAGATCTATTTCATGCACTACAGGAAACCAATTGTGTGTGTGTGTGTGTGTGTGCGTGAGTACATATTACAGTTTTACGTTTTCCACTAAAAAGAGTGAAAATTTACGAGGGTTTCTACAACAGATCTACTGCCTGAATGCACACACATATGTACATTTGTAGATCGAATCCGAGGGTTTCTATATTCAACGGAAATTGAAATTGAAGATAATATTCAGAATAATAGAAAAGATGAAGCTGGCTTGGGCAATTAGGATTTCTATGCAGAGATAACATCGATAATTCAGACAGATATACATCGAAATAGAACGAATTTATCGATCATGATGCATTTGTGGGGGTGATTTAGGACCTTAAAAGTACCCATATATGAAATAAAAATCATAAAAATGAATAAAGTATCAAATTTAAGCAAAAAGCGTTAAGCTTGTTCATACAACAACAAATTGTAAACTCCGGAAATCAACAGAGAAATCATGGAGATATTTTTAGGGTTCACAGAAAGGAACTTACACACCAGGAGCGGAAGGAAGAGGAAGATCCGAAGGAATCGAACCGCCATGGAAGTCCTTGAGAGTCATCGTAGCTTTCTTCTTCGACATTCGCACTCCTCTCTCTCTCTTCCTGTCCTTTATATCTCCTAATCCCCTCTGTATATATTCTCTGAAACCCTTCCTCTCTGAGACCCTCTCTCCCTCTAGAAATCCGAATCAATCCGAGGAGTGAGAAGCAGAGAAGCGAAGGGACAGAGAAACGAAGAGTCAAGAGAGGGGATTTGGGTTGCGTTGTGGTCACGGGTTTTAAAGCTGACTTAGCATTGGGCTTATTCAGCTTTCCTTTCGGGCTTTTTTGTAGTTGAAATTGGGCTGCCACATTCTTTTGTTAGATGTAATTGGGTTATGGAAAAGAAAGTTTTCTCATTTGGGGGTGTAGCCTTCTATGTTAGCCACATTATGAGTCTTGTTGACCCCTCTTNCCAGCACGATCCAAATGCCTCATGATTCTGTCAAAAAAGATGGAAATTTTAGCACAGTTTCCACTTAACAGATCTATTTCATGCACTACAGGAAACCAATTGTGTGTGTGTGTGTGTGTGTGCGTGAGTACATATTACAGTTTTACGTTTTCCACTAAAAAGAGTGAAAATTTACGAGGGTTTCTACAACAGATCTACTGCCTGAATGCACACACATATGTACATTTGTAGATCGAATCCGAGGGTTTCTATATTCAACGGAAATTGAAATTGAAGATAATATTCAGAATAATAGAAAAGATGAAGCTGGCTTGGGCAATTAGGATTTCTATGCAGAGATAACATCGATAATTCAGACAGATATACATCGAAATAGAACGAATTTATCGATCATGATGCATTTGTGGGGGTGATTTAGGACCTTAAAAGTACCCATATATGAAATAAAAATCATAAAAATGAATAAAGTATCAAATTTAAGCAAAAAGCGTTAAGCTTGTTCATACAACAACAAATTGTAAACTCCGGAAATCAACAGAGAAATCATGGAGATATTTTTAGGGTTCACAGAAAGGAACTTACACACCAGGAGCGGAAGGAAGAGGAAGATCCGAAGGAATCGAACCGCCATGGAAGTCCTTGAGAGTCATCGTAGCTTTCTTCTTCGACATTCGCACTCCTCTCTCTCTCTTCCTGTCCTTTATATCTCCTAATCCCCTCTGTATATATTCTCTGAAACCCTTCCTCTCTGAGACCCTCTCTCCCTCTAGAAATCCGAATCAATCCGAGGAGTGAGAAGCAGAGAAGCGAAGGGACAGAGAAACGAAGAGTCAAGAGAGGGGATTTGGGTTGCGTTGTGGTCACGGGTTTTAAAGCTGACTTAGCATTGGGCTTATTCAGCTTTCCTTTCGGGCTTTTTTGTAGTTGAAATTGGGCTGCCACATTCTTTTGTTAGATGTAATTGGGTTATGGAAAAGAAAGTTTTCTCATTTGGGGGTGTAGCCTTCTATGTTAGCCACATTATGAGTCTTGTTGACCCCTCTTATTTTTCTTGGACTTTGGAGTGATAGAATCATAAGAAAATATATTCCGAAAGTCATAAAACCTAATAACCACACACAACCGCATCATCATCCAAATCATAAACATGGCAACATTTGTCTTCTTTCTTGAGAATAAGGGACTATGGGACTTTTATGAAAAAAAATGACCAAGGATGGTCCTCCTCATGTATCTCTTCAACTACATGCCGTATCCAAGTTTTTTTCTCTCTCAAGAAAAAAGGTTTTTCATGAAGAATAATACTATACAAACATACAAAATCAATTCAATATTTTTTAACTAACATACATGGCTATTGTCCGATACATGAATTAGGGCAATGTTTTTCAAAAAACTTTTGGCCAATAAGTGTTGTTTTCAACTTTGCTCTCACAAATGTTAAAGAGTTGTGAATCTATGAAGTATGAATACTTCGTTAAGGTTGATATATCTGTATCGGATATCGTATCAGATATGATACTTGCCGGATACTCGAAGATATGTATCGGATACACACCAAACGTATCCAATAATAAATAAAATATATGAATACTTTGTGGATACTTCTATCTATATTATTATAAAATGTCAACAAAAGTGAAAAAATTTTGTTAGACCATAATACCCCTATAAAAATGATTAAAGATAATTATATCATTTTATATTTAATTACTTAATACCAATTAAATATCCAATAACCCTTCATACACTTTATACCCCTATAAAAATGATTAAAGTCAACTATATCATTGATATATTTAATCACCCAATATCATTTAAATATCCAAATAACCCTTCATATACTTTTTTCACATAAATAATCTATATGGATATCTATATCTATACATCTATTTGTACTTCAAAAAATAAATATTCAGTGTACATCCAATTTATAATATAGTTAATACTAATATATATCTTGATTTTTATTAGCATTTTTCATATCATAATTACAGTAATTAATATTTAAAAGTTTTAGGTTGTTTGTCTTCCAAACAAGCTTTGCATATCATCATAACAAGATTGCACCAACATCTTGACAAAGCAAAAAAGGACTCGAACAAAGAAAAGAAGCTTTTTCTTTTAGAAAACTGATTTTTTCAATTTCGTGAATGTGTTTGTTATTTTTACTAACTTTCTTTTTTCGTATAGAAAAGTAGAAAAAAATTATGCTCTCGAGTCGTATTATATTTTTATCATTGAGGATAAAAAATAATTAAAATGTTACTATTGATATTTCCATGAAAATAATACTATACTTGCCCTTTTTATTATACCTTTTACCTTTGGTTTTAAAAACCCGAGAGGAAATACTTTTTTTTCCTCATAATTTAATTTATTATTTTATCTGAAAAGAAGTCATCTTTTGGAGAACTTGATATTAAAATCTAGAGAGTGTTAGAACATGTGGCTTACCCTTGACACTTTGGTGGAGTGAACCTCTAGAAAAAAAATACATGAATTAGTCGCCATTTTGAATTTTGTAACAATTGGATGTTCTAAGAACTGATTTGTGATGAGGGCAATTTTAAGTGTTACTACATTAATTTGTAAAATTTGTAATTTTTTTCATTAATACGTATGTGATTTCTTATGCTAATGGTTATGTTATTTGCTAATTCGGGATCCTCATGTGATTTCTAATTTCACTTATGGGCCAAAAGTAGTATAATAATAAATCTTGAATTGAGTATGGTTCTGATAGGAAATTAACCTTGAATAACATTTCAATTAACACTAGCATGTTTCCTACTTTGATTTGAGTTTAATGTTTAATGTGATCTTAAAGTCCTCAATGATTTATTTATGTTTAATATTAGGGTACTGCTCCTTTTAAATTCTAGAAAACCACTTAATCCGTGGTTAGAGTGATTTTTTATGGTGATGTGGTCAAAGACCACTTGGTTTTTTTTTAAAGATTTAAAACAATAAAAATCTTATAATCTACATAACAAAACTATTTTATCCTATTTGATATTCAAAATAACTCACGTGCAACGCACGTGTGCTTTCACTAGTATGTAAAAAAGTATGTGTAATTTTTAGTTTTAATCTTTTCCTTTTCCTTTTGATTTCACATACAATGCATACACCAATAAAAATTCATATGACTTGGAAGACACATATATGTTTTCTAAGTATTATATATTATCACATGGCCAAAGAGTTTAAATGAGTTGATTACTTTATAATCTTACCAGAAAATACTTCTAAGCAAACAATATATTTAAATGTTTGTTCTTATTTGGTCATCTCTGCAAGTATTCCTTCGACTACGTGTCGTGAAGAAATTTTCTCGTCCCACCAAAGGAAGGATTGTGTGAGAGTTAGAGGGATGCCTTTCATAGTTTTCTTTGTTTTTCGACATGAAGTGTTGTTTTGGACTTGTTCTTAAAGATGTTTAACAAAAGTATGATTATGAGGGCTTCAATAATTCAGTTGATATATGAGGGGCCGCTATTTGTCTGCTGCACCAGACATTGTATCTTGCGTTATTGTAATACATGCTATGTCATGGTTGGCATCATACAAATACTTGTTATGTTGTGAGAGACCACTTAGCCATTCGGTGAGATATGTGAGAAATTATTCAGTGCAATGATTAAAATTTTGTTTCGGTACATAGTATTAGTGAGTTTAAAAATGAAAACATTTTGGGAATGTTTCAGAAATAAGGAAAATTTTGAAAATTTATTTCTAAAACAATGGTCGAAACATACCAAAACATTCTAAATTAACATAGGTCAAAACATGCCGAAATATCTCGAAACCTACTGAAACACCTCGAAACATAAGAATTTTGATATTTAATCAATAATTCGTTTTAGTTTCCATGGAAATAGAAACATTTTGACCTTTTCAAAATGAAGTTTAGTTCCTTGATTCAATGTGACCAAAACACTGTGATGGTTATTGTGATCTCTAACATCAAGAGAACTTCACACGAGATTGTTAAGAGCAAGCATTGGTGGATAACAATGCCCCGTATATGATCTAGTGATGCATCCATTGGAAAAAAGAGACACATATCTTGCTATTGTTTTGTAACCTAAGAGGTCTGAAAAAATACTTTGAATTCAGTTTCTTTTACCTTGTTGCTAAGCAGCTATTATCGTTGTTTTGCTTTAGATGTGGTTATGCATAAGTTTATAAATTAAACTAAATAGAAAAAAAAAACATACTAGTCCACCAGTTATGGGGTTTAATCTGAAGCTTATGTTCACTAGAGAAATGCAAAGGCAAAAGCTCACTAAAGATATGAAAATTACTAAGAGTTCTCATAACAAAAATAAAGCAAGAGAACAACTCTCATACTAGTTTGCTGAAAGCCACTTTCATCTATTTTTTGCTTGCTCTTACTCTAGCAGTTTATGAAGCTATATTATGGAGTCATGTTTTATACAATTACAACCTAGAAAGGGAAATCATTGATAGTGATGTTATCAAAATGGAGCCTTGCATCTACATGTTGGTTACTCAGGGCCAGAAATATATCACAAACAAGATTTAAACAAAGGGGAATTCTTTATTTCTCTCTACAAATAAAATACAAGACTTTATACAAAATTCTCACAAATTAGATCT